CAGATTATGGAAACAATATATCTGCTTTTGATCCAAATAGTATAGCTACTGAGGCTCTTGTCTTTATGCTTGTTGGACTTCGAGGGCATTGGAAATGTCCTATCGGTTATGTTTTATGTGAAAAGATTTCAACAACAAACTTGGTTTGTCTTATAACTAACGCAGTTAATTTATGTGTTCAGCATGGTATAGATGTTCACAGCATAACTTGTGATGGTGTTTTTTCTAATTTTAGTGCCATGAAAAGTCTTGGCTGTTCGTTTGATAAAGCTGAAAATATGAAAACTTTTTTTAATATTGAGTCTTATAATAAAAATATTTATTTTATTCCTGATCCTTGCCATATGCTAAAACTTGCACGAAATGCGCTATGTGATCTTGGTGTATTTATTGATAATCAAAAAAGATTTGTAAAGTGGGAGCACATCACAATTCTGCAAAATTTGCAAGAAGACATTGGACTAAAGTTTGCTAATAAGTTAGGAAATAGCCATATTAATTTTCATAGGCATAAAATGAATGTAAAAATAGCTGCCCAAACACTAAGTAATTCTGTAGCAGATGCTATTGAATTTTTAATGCTATCTGGTCATCCCTCTTTTCATGATGCTCAAGGAACATTAGATTTTATAAGAACAATTAATCAACTTTTTGATTTACTTAATTCAAGAAGTCCATTCGGCAAAGGTTTGAAAAAACCCTTATTTCTTAATGACAAAATCCATTGGTTTAGTGTTATTGAAAAAACAATTAAATATCTGGCCAGCCTAACTGATAAAGATGGGACTAAAATTTTTAAACATAGAAGAAAAACGTTTGCTATTGGTTTCATTGTCGCTGCAACTAGTATCCAAAATATGTCTATAAATTTACTATCAAGATCCGAATGTTCATTCAAATATGTGTTGACCTATAAAGTGTCTCAAGATCACTTAGAACTGTTGTTTGCTTGTATTAGGGGAAAAAATGGATTTAATAATAATCCTAATATTATACAATTAAAGTCAAGCTTTAAAAAAATTCTTTTAAGAAACTTTTTGATTGGTTCAAAGCATGCAAATTGTCTCACTTTTGAAAAAAATTCAGCTGGTTCAATATTTTCATTGAAATGGAGTAAAACAAGATCTCCAATGATAGAAACAGAATTAAAAGATGAAGATAAAAATATAATTGCAAACTTATCAAATAGCCTAGAAAAGATTTCAACATTGATATACAAACAAGCAATACTTGGTTATATAGCTGGTTACATTGTTAAAACTCTTAAAAAGAAAATAACTTGTTGCATATGTGCTGAAGCACTTAACCAACCAGATAATTTAGTTCGTGATCATGAGTACACAGTCTTTTACAAATCATCATCTTTATCTTTTATAAATTTAAAAAATCTTGGTGGATTAAATATACCATCTGTTAGTGTTATTAAAATTATTGAAAAATGTGAGAAAATATTTAGAGTTTTTGTTATAGGCATTAATTCAACGTTAGCCACTTGTTCACAAAAAAACTTAAAATCCTTAATGGTTTACAAAATTAATCAAGAGCTTGCATGTGAAAAGATGTTTCCTGAACTAAACGAGCATGATTTAGATCATGAGATTTTAACTGAAGATATGCACTCCTCTCAACTATTAAAAAAGATAATTGATAAATATCTCTCCATTCGTTTATTTCGTTATGGAAAACAGTATACTAACGATATTCTACATAAACATAAAATTGGTTTACGTCAGCAGTTTAATAAAATAATTTTATTTAAAGGCATATAAATATTTTTTTTAATTAAAAAGGAACTCAGATTTTTTAGTTTTAGAGATAATGCAAGTTGTTTTGTTTTTAAATTTATAAAAAAAACACTCTATTATATATAAATGTTATATGTGTATATTATATATGTATATATTTATATATGTGTATGTGTGTTTTTATAATTATGTGTGTATGTGTGTGTTTATGCATACACATGTATAATATTTATATAAAATAAAGTTTATTCATACATTATATATATATATATATATATATATATATATATATATATATATATATATATAAATTATTAGAAATTTATAAATTTCAACATATAAGTGTTAAATTTCAATATATATATATATATATATATATATATATATATATATATATATATATATATATATATATATATATATATATATATATATATATATATATATATATATATATATATATATATATATATATATATATATATATATATATATATATATATAATATTATTATATAATATTATTAACAGTTAATATATTGTTTACTGGTAATAGTGTATTTAATTAATACCTCCTCAATCTAATCCATGTCCATTTTTTTCAAAGTATGTCAGAAATAGCAGCATCTTCTTAAGGTAGTTAACTTTTTAAAAAATTTTTTAAAACTATAACTTTAAAGTAACATCAACTACTTTAAGTTTACAATTATAAAAATAACGTCCAGATAAAGTAATTAAATTCAATTTCAGATAAAGTAATTCAAAACAACATTACTTCTTCTTCAACATTAACTATACTATTAAGATTATTTTGTTTCATTTTTAATAAATAAATCTAAACAGGTCAGGTAATATATAGTTTCTTGTAAAACCAAATCAAAGCTTTATCGCTTATTTACGATGTTTTGCCAGTATTCAATATGGCTTCCGCCGAAAAAATTTGCCTCATACTATATCAAGGAATTTTTACGGAGTTAGATATCTATGTATATATATATCATTGGTTTTAGGAGCTTTAACGCAAGGCTAATTACTATTATTTATTAATGTGGTTCCTATAGAAAAAACAGTTAGAAAGTTTATTAATTTGATCAAATTTATGTAGAATTTAATTATCTTTCTCATGATATAGCTAATTTTTTTTTGTGCTAACTAAAACTCAATATTAAATACCTTGTTTTCTAAACACTGTCAAACAAGGTAATTAACCTTAGCAACTAAGTAAACTGTAAATAGTATAATCCGAAACATTCTTAAACTTAAATCCAATAACAATAAATAAAGTTATTTGTGTTAAATTTTATAAATCTTATGTTATCTGTGTAAGACATTTTATTTAATTTTTGTTTTGAATTATCTTACATAACTCATATACAGCAAACATAATTTGGTTGCTTAAGCATGCTAAATAAAGTATTAAATTTTTTTAATATTTTTAATTTCTCTATATATAAATAATATGCTGATTTGTTTATTATGTTTTAGTATCTTAAAAGTGTTTAATATTTATTAGCAATACAATACAAACAATAAAAACCACAAACTTAGAAGAATGTTTTATTTTAGAGGCAATGAACACTTGTGCTAAAAAATGCAAACAAGTTATAGAAGATCCAAATGAATACGATTTTTCTATAAACTTTATAGTTATTAAAAACTTTAAATTTTTGAAAACTTATGTTTAACTTTAGCAGACATTCTTGAATGTTTTTCATAAAACATAAACTTTTTATTTACAATTTGACTCCTTGCATGGTTGCTGTTCCTAAGTTAAAATTTAAAGTTAAAAACTGTTTGTTTAAAAGTAGCTGCTTTTTACATCGAATCCTGCAACGAAGAATAGTGTATGCATTTGATGAAAGTTTGATATGAAGGTCTTCGTTGGCTTTAAGATAAGTAGGAAGTGGAGGATACGAATCAAATCAAAAAATTTATGAAATAAGTTGTAACATTTCAAGGGCTTTTACATGTATTTCAAGTATGTTGTATGTTGATCTTGTGCCACCAAATAAACACTTCTAGAAGCATATGAAGCTGTTGCAGTATTACTTATGGCTTGTGGTGCCTAAAAAATTGAAAAAAATTGGAAAAAAGGCCATTCATCATTTAATATAGTTGCAAAACCTCATAACATTATTAAAATAGTACTCATGTAATGTCAGAGCACAGCGAATCGTAAAATTGTGCAGTGCAGAAAAAAAACTATTGATTAAATCTTGAATAAATGATTTTACTTCATTAGTTAGCAAAGTTTATATTACACTGTTTACCCAGGTTTTTAGTTTTACTACATGGATTAATTTACTGAAACACTGAAGTTAAAGCTTGTGCAGTTTTGTTTTATTTCATTGAATTCAATGATGCAACTGAAACTATTTTTGATGTCTGTAAACAAAAGCAGCTCAAGAAAAGTTTTTAAGCGCAGCTGCAATGCGCTATGTTGCAAAAATACAGCTTGTTAGTGGGGTAGACCCGTATAAGTTAAAACTTAACGATATGGACACAAATCCTAAATCACTTCCTTCCGTGGATTATCCAGACATAGTAAATTATTGCGTCTACACAAAAAGTGCCTATACAATGGATGAATTGAAATCTTACAAATCTCTGGATGCATACCACCAGTTCGTCAGCGGTTGGGTTTCTGATTTGGGAAGCTATGTTGTGAATAACCGCGTCATTGTTAAAAGCAAGGTATGAATTAGCAATAACAACAATTTAAGTATGCACATATGTTTAACAGATATTGTATGCCTACAATTAATTTATTTATGGAAGAGCCTAAATATTTGTATTATTGATGCAATATCTAAATAAATGTATTATTGAAGGAATATCAATATCACTGAGATATTTATTTTGTTCCTTATTATGTTTTTTATAAATAGATCTAAAAAAAAAAGAGTCTAAAAAGATTACTTCCTGCTATATATTACATTTAAATTATATATATGTATATATATATATATATATATATATATATATATATATATATATATATATATATATATATATATATATATATATATATATATATATATATATATATATATATATATATATATATATAGGGTGTTTGATAATATATATATATTAAAAAAAAAACAAGAAAAGAAGTTAAAAGTAATTTAAAAGAAAAAAAATAAAACTAAGGAAAAAGACAATTTTTCACATTAATATAAGATAATTATAAGTTATATTCACAAATATTATATAATTTACAAAAATATTTAATTGATTTTACATAATTTCCGTATTAATGAAAAAGTACGATTGATTTGCAGCAATTGGTAAGAGCACAACTTACTGTAACAATTTTGTCCACAGTTGGTATATTGTCGGCCTCACACATCAAAAAGTCGACTGGTAAGATTTCCTTCAATATAGTGTATTTGTTTCTGGCAAGTTCAATCACTCTTTCTACGTTGACCCTCGATCGGGCAATTTTTCTAGTACTTTCGACATCAACAGCTGATAGCTGCTTCTTTCCTTTTGTAAATGCTGGAATTTTAACCTCAGCACACATAAGACCAACAGAGTCGGCTATGTTAAAGCCTCGGTCAGCAAGCACTACATCCCCAGGGTTGAGCTTCTCAAGGAGTCCACATTGTTCGGTGATAAGTTTGTCGCTAGTTCTCCCACCCCATCCTTGGGAAATGAAAGAAATAACGCCTTGTGAAACAATGCCAATCAAATATTTTACGGTGTTATGACTTTTATAGTTGCTCCATATCTGCGCTCTAGCCATAAGATTTGAGGGTCTTTCAATAAAAATTTCAAAACAGTCTATGATGACAGCTATCTTAAGCCCAAAGTGTTGTCTGTACGATAATGGCATAGATTGTTGTAATTCTTTTCTTTCTGGCCAGTAAATCAGAGGTTTCATACGAACATATAGTATGTGCAAAATATTCTTGAAAGTTTTTGAAGCAATGGAATAGGAGATGTCAAATCGAAATGCTAAGTCTTGTATTGGGGTTCCAAGACGAAGCTTCATTAGCGCAAGAATTAATTTTTGGAACTTAGATAGTCGCGAACGCGCTGTTAACGAAATATATGCTTCGACATGCTGAAACACAGCTAATAGCACTTTACGACAGGGCAAGCCTGTGTAATAAAGAACTTTATCATCATCGGTAAATGACTCAACTGTTACTTCAAACGAGAGGAGCTTCTCCTTTAACTTAATGTTCTCACTTAGAACTCGTCTATAATATTGCATTAGGAATTCACTTTCATTATTTTGCGCTGAAAGACTATCATCAATCGTCAGGAGTTCGACTTCACTACTTTGCTTTTTATAAACAGGACCTTTCAACAAAAAAGTGCATATTTTACGTTTTGCATTAAAATCGCTGATTGAAACCTCACTAACTGTTTCACTAGCAGCTCCCTCTGCAAAATGTAGCAAATCCTCTGCGGCAGTATACATGGTCTTTTTTTCAGCTCTAATTTGCGCTCGAGAATATCTGAAAGTGACATAAATCTGTAAGTCAATGTTGAAGTTCAACGGTTGGCAACAAAGTTGTCATAAGAGACTGAGGACTAAAATTTTGCTTAAAGCGTCACTTTATTTACTTTAAAATTCCATTACATATTTACTTATTCAAGATGCACTTTTGAAAAATGACAGGTTAAAAAATAAAAATAAGTTAACAAAAGTAAGAAACTTAAAATAATCCATAATAAATACAAGATGCGTTTTATCTATTATATATGTAAATTATAGTTGTTAAGGATACACATATACTTTTTATAAGTTCATGTTTAAATAAATGGTAAAAATAAAGATCACAAAAAATATCAGAAGTATATTGTTAAATCATCGATTGCAAAAATGAGTTCTTTAAGCTTTTGTTTAAAAGAAAAGTAGTTACTTTGATTAATAAAATCCTCAGTAAAATTTTTTAAAACTATTTTGTTCCATAAGAATGGTCCGCGATAATCAATACAAAATTTAAAAAGATTTGTTTGAAAAATGGGCTGCTTAATAAAATTATTATTACGTAAAAAGTATTTATTTTTATCTTTTGATGAATACAAATTATGGGAAGAAATCGGGGATGAATTGGTTTTACATTTAAACATAAAACAAAGAATATTAAAAATATTAATCTCGTATATATTAAAAACTTTCATTTCAAATAAAAGAGGCTTGGCATGAGTATAACGGTCTTTAAAATATATAAGACGTGCTAATGCTTCTGCTGACAATAAAGAGGTTTAAGTTTGTTTTTATTTGCACTACCCCAAGCAATGTTTGCATAGTTTATGTGGCAATGAATAAATGAGTGATATAATTGTACTAAAGTTTGTTTATTTAAGACATTTCTCGCTTTGTACAATATTCCTATACTTTTTGAAATTTTACTTGATAAGTTTTTAATGTGGTTTTTCCATGTAAGATTTTCATCAAAACAAACTCCTAGAAAATTAGTTACTGTTACTTTTTTAATTTGTATATTGTCAATAACAAGTGGAGGCATGTTAATTGGCAGTTTATGTTTTTTGGTAAGAGGATGGAAAAGAATCCATTTAGTTTTATCAATGTTCAGGGATAGTTTGTTTGTCTTAAACCAGTCAGATATTTTGAATAACTCGATGTTCACGTTATGAAATAAAGTAGGAATGCTTTTGTGAGACATAAATAAATTAGTGTCATCAGCAAACATAATTGTTATTAAATTCGAGGCTTTGTATAGATCATTAATATAAATAAGGAAGAGAAGAGGTCCTAATATGGATCCTTGAGGAACTCCACATGTAATATTTAACAAACTTGATGAAAATGATTTATCAGCATAAACAAATTGTTTACGATTAGTTAAATAACTTTTCGACCATTTTAAAACATTGCCTATTACCATAATATTCTAATTTTTTAATAAGAATTTTATGATCAATTGTATCAAACGCTTTCGCTAAATCAATAAATATTCCCAATGTAAATTTAGAAATGTTAAATGAGTCTGATATACTTTTTGTAAGCTGAATAATTGCATGTTCTGTTGAATTATTTTTTTTGAATCCATATTGCATGTTATATAATAATTTGTTTGTTAAAAGGTGATTGTATATTCTGTTGTACGAAATTCTTTCTAAAATTTTAGAAAAAACAGAGAGAATGGAAATTGGACGATAGTGTTTTACATTAGTTTTTTCTCCTTCTTTAAATATAGGAATAATTTTTGCTATTTTTAAATCATTAGGAAAAAACTCCCTGATTAATAGAGCATTTAAAAATTTGGAAAAGTATGTCTTTTAAAACGTCAAAACAGCTTATAATAATATTTCCGTTGACATCATCAGGACCAACTGCTTTATTTGACTTTAACAATTTAAAAGCACTTTCAAACTCTTCAAAAGACAAATCAAAAGAATTTAGATACGAGTTTAGAGGGTCATATGTTGCTTTTATTAATTTTTTAGGGTTCGGAATTTTTTCGGCTAGGTTTGGTCCTACAGATACAAAATATTTATTAAATTCATAAGCAATTGATTTTTGATCAAGAAGAAGATTATCATCTACTTTAATAACTGAGGGCAAAGATTGCGAAATTTTTTTAGTGTTGCCAGTAATTTCGTTTATTAGTTGCCAAGTGCGTTTTGAGTTTAATTTGTATTTTTCAAGTAAATTAGTGAAATATATTTTTTTTGAATTTTTCCTTAGGCGTTCAAATAATCTTACGTAATTTTTATAAATAGTCTTACTCTCAGTTGTTTTTGATTTTAAATATTTAATATAAAGTTTTTGCTTAATTTTTGAAGATTTTAGAATACCTTTGGTAATCCATGGCGATACAATTTTTTTATATTTGTAATTTACTTCTACTTTGGGAAAATTGATGTCATAAATTTCATAAAAAATTTTAAAAAAGGATTTGTATATTAAATTAATGTCTTCAGAAAAGTTTATAATGTCCCAATTAATTAACGATAGTTGATATTTAAAAGATTTTAGGTTTTTATTATGAAAAATTCGTTTTTTAAATGATTTTTTTTCATAACATATAATTTTCGCATAAATATCAATTGAAAAATATATAGGGAAGTGATCAGATATATCACTTTTAATAATGCCTTTTTTAAGCGAATTATTAAAAATATCGTTGGTTATAATGTTATCAATTAAGGAAGTTGTTGTTTGAGTAATTCTAGTTGGTTTGTTTATTAGAGGAACTGCTCCGTTTTCAAATAGGCCATTATAAAACCCATTAATGTCTTTTTTGACATGATACTCAAAGCAATTTAAATTCAGATCACCTTATATGTAAAGTAATTTTTTTTCATGGTTGCTTTTATTTATAACATCATCTTGTAAAAATGTACTAAAAGTTTTAATTTCGCCTGTAGGTGGTTGATAACAACAGCTTATCACAATGTTTTTAGTTTTATTGTTCAATATTTCAATTGTTAAAACCTCTTTATTGACATCAGAAATACTCATGTCATGCCTAATATAATACTGAAGGTTTTCTTTTACATAAATAATTAAACCACCGCCGTGTTTATTTGTTTTCCGTCCTAATGAAATCAAATTATAGCCCGGTATTTTAAATTTATTATCTAAACTTGAGTCATTAGAACTACACCAAGTTTCAGTTATGCATATTACACTAAAAAGAGTTAAATTTTCCTCAAAACTATTGCAAAGATTTTCAAAATTTTTTTTTAAACTTCTTATATTTATATGAACTGCATTAAATTTATCATGCTCAAGAAATTCTTTTATTTCATAACTATAGAAACAGCTGCAGTTGCTTTGTAAAGCACCTGTTTCGCTAAAAAAACTTTGATCCGGATCGGACTCTTTGTTGAGTATAAAATCATTGAATTGAAAAATATCAAAATTCTTTAACTGGTTTGAATCCATTTTAGTATTTAAAAACAATAAAAAATTTAAGATAAAATAATAACTCTAATATAAAAGAATTTCTTAATTGTCGCGCGTTACAAGTTTATTATATACAACTTTAGCATATTTACCTTTGGCTCTCAGATCTTTTGCTTCTTTAAATAACTGTTTTCGCAATTCCAAAGTTCTTTCGCTGTAGTCTTCGTTTACGTAAAGCCGATCGTTCCACAATTTTAACTGAACATAATTATCCAACGCAGTTTTTTTGTCTTTGTAATTTAAAAATTTTACTATTATGGTTCTATTATACTTTTTTCCATCGCTATTTTTTTTCCCCGTCCTGTGCGCACGTTCGATTTCAACATTACCTTTAAAACCAAGTTTTGACTTTAAAACATTTTGAATCTTTTCTTCGCTTAATTCCCACGTTTCATTTTCGTCTTCCTCAATTCCTGTAAACCTTAGATTATTTCTTCTGCTTCTGTCTTCCAACTCAGCAAGTTTGTCTTTGACAACAACATTTGTTATATCATTCTGGCTTGATGTTGAGTTAGGCTTTTTTTTTATTTCAGAAAGTTCTTGAACAATTGATTCATATTTCTCGCTAAGAAACTCTGCCGATTTCCTTAATTCACTAGTTTCTTTTTTTAGTTTTGAATTTTCTTCTTGAAGATTTAATAGTTTGATTTCCATTTTATCAAACTTCTCGTTAAATATTTTCAATAAAGTATTCTCATGAATATCTAATAGATCTTTAATTTGAGAAACGGTAAATTTAGCCATTTTTAAATATAAACGTACGTACGTACGTACGTACGTACTTTATGGACAACCCCTAAGCTGCTAGAAATATAAGGTGAAGCTTTTTATACTGAGCTTGTTTTTGATATGAAAATAAAAACTTTTTCTCTTGACATAGATGAGTGCTTTCGCCAAAAAATAAGAAGGTTTATTAGTATATTTTATATAGTACATATAGTATATACATTACTTATTAATTACAAACAAACTAATAAACATTGTTTTCTTACTTATTATATAAAGTAAAAGTGACAGTATAAATTGTTATAATTACATCAAATTGTAATCAAATTCGTATTTAAAAGATAAATAACGATAAATAATTTAACAATTACATAATCTTAATATTGAATAATGCGCATAGTTACGCCTATCACGGTCGTTTACCAGCGCTATGTTTAGGTACGCATGCGTGAAAAAATGCGAAAAACTTTTGAACTTTTAAAATTACTACGGTTCTTAACTACAGGGTATATTTTATATGGCAACCGCGTTATTTGTTATTTGATCTCTAAAAACTAAATGTTGTAGCCTTACTTTTATGTAGATCAGTATATTATTACGAACATTTCACAAAAATATAAATAAAAAAAAGAATAAAAAATATCTTAGAGTCTTAAACTTTAATTTAAATTAACAACTTTTTAGTGTAACTAAATTTTTTTGTTTATTTGAAATCAATTTGTTTATTTATTTGAAATCAATTTTCTTAAAATCTGACTGTAGGATTTCAATAATTTTTTTTAACTTTAGATAAATATGTTCTATATTTATGA